TATAAATGTACACATCTGGAAGGCGAGTGAGCGCCCGCAGATGTTCATAAATGTCTCTATGCCATGTGCTCAAGCATGTGGCATCACATAAATAGCCCAATGTGGAGCCAATTTGGTGTGCTCACACCCCAGTCTTCAGCCGAACAGAGTCTTGTGTGGGGTGCCATAACCAGCACACTGCACAGGCAAGCTTGATAAGCCCTTGCAACATAATCAGATCCACTTTTTGCCGCCTCTTCGTGTGTGGATCCACGGGCCCAACAGCACCCACTGTGGATTTGGTGTCCGCAGAGCATCCTGACCGATGGGGGAGCCGCCCCAGCAAAGGACAGGGCCATGGCGGTGGCGGTCATGCGACTGGCTGCCCAAGTGGCTGGCTCACCCAGCGAACTGGCCGCTCTCACCTTGGACGCTGTCGCCCAGTGCCTGCACCTGGACGACAGCGCGCCCCAAGCGGCCAGCCCGGAAGGTGGGGCTCTTGCATTTCCCAGCATGATTTGCCGCTCACGCAGCCAGTCACTTCATGGATTGAGCCTCGTCTGTTCTGGGATGTGCTGTTCTCTTTCCTCTGCATGTACCAGCATGCATGCTGGTGCAGAGACAGAAGGGGCTGTGAGGGCAGGGGTAAGGGGGGCTCCTGTGTAAGACATCCCAAGGCTGCCATTGTTCTATGGGGAGGTGTGTTGCTCAAAATCCTCAGTATGGCTCATGTTTGGATGTGGCCACTGAGTACGTAGGCAAGGACCGGGGTGTTGATGATCCTTTCTCTCCACATATGCAATGTGCATGATGTCAGCGACACACAAATAGTATGGAAAGTAGAGATGTAAGGTTGAAGTAAATCCTGTGAAGAAGTTGTAACCCCCAGAACTTCAGAATATGACTCCAGAATGCCTATGGGTGCTCATGTTGTCTGTGGCCACAGACCGGATGCGCGAGGAGGACTGCTGGCTGCACAGCCTCAACCTTGCATCGGTCCTCTTAGAGGGAACGCCCCTGAAGGGACAGCGACCCGTGGCCACAAACCCAGCACTGACCTGTCTTGCTGACATCGGCCGCCGCCTCGTCATCCCCGCCATGGACATGGGCCCTGCAGTCAGGTGCATGCGCTTTCCAGTTCTGCAATTTTCATATCATTATTTCATTCAGCTTCTGTCAAAAGTTTGGCTCATGCATGCGGGCCTGTGGCAACTAAGCACTCCACAAAACTTGTTTGCACCGCTTTACACAGACACATCACGACCACCACTTAAGTTTAGATTATCTAGCGTGTTGAAGAGGGACCAACAAGAGACAGCCAGGAGGACAGAGCGTATGCTGCATGGATGTGACTGGCCTCTGTTCCGAGCACTGCCTTATGCTCAGAAGGCGGTCAAGTTCGGTCATGTGAGTGTCCAGCCTTTGTGTGTAGGGCGGAGGCGGTGAGGTGCACAGGACTGCTGTGCATGCTGGCTGATGGCTGTGACGCAGCAGCCGCGGCCGACTGCGCCCAGCGCATCGCGCTGCTGCGCACTGCGTTCCTGGCCGATCCCGGGGCGGCCGTGCGCGAGGCCGCCGCCAAGGCGCTCTGTGACTTGGCAGTCCTCAGGTGGGGACCCAGTAGCTGCCCTTGTCCCAGAACTATCACAGCGCGTACACCGGGAGTGGGACGTGGAAATGAAGTGACGTGCAAAGAGATTCGTGTTACAGACAGTGCTTCGCGCAGATCCGGGTTGACCTCATTAGTAAGATGGGGTCCCCAACCATCACAGCCATGATCAAACAGCGCCTACAAGCTAGGCCCAGAATCACTATGCACCGCACCGTGCGGCATACATCCACAGTATCTTACAGAGCAAGCAATCTTGAAATGCGACTCGTACACACAGAACGAGCGCCCGGCTTGGGTGTTCAAGCTGATCACTTCGTCTTTTGATCCTATCAGGGGAACAACATTGCTGGATCAGCGGTACACGCCCTTGCTGGACCACCCCAGCGAGATGGATGCCAACCCAGCTGCCATCGAGGAGGCATCGTTGCCTGTTCTGGATGTGCTGCTGGGCCGCCTCGCATCGGCCGGCGGCCGGGGCGCGTCCGAAGATGACTACGCGGTAGTCAGCGCGGTCGCGGAAGGCCTCGCGAAGCTGCTCCTGCACCAGCAGCTGCCGGGCAGGCAGCACGCGCCTCTCCAAGACGCAGAGACACACAAGGCATGCATTTGCTTCCCTGCAGTATCATCCTTTCAAGCAACATACAGCAAACAGAAAGAGGAATCTAAAATCATGATGCTGAAAATTTGGAAACAACCGCCATGAGATGAACGCACTGTGATTGTGCACATGGCCTGACTCAGACCAAACCAACAGCTCCTTGCATGGCAGTAAAGCTCTTGCCCTGCTGTGCCAGTGCCTAGGTAAGGTTACATGAGATTAGCATGATGTGCTGAGCAGGTGCTGGCGCAGCTGCTGGTGCTGGCATGTGACCCCGGGCTGGCGGCAGCCGCGCGCATGCAGCAGTGCCTGACCGTGTTCTTCCACGCCTATGCGCCGCAGTCGGCAGCCGCACAGGGCCGACTCTGCGCGGCCGCGTTGCCGGCCGCGCGCCGCGCGCTGCTGGCCGGCCTGACCCCGGCCAAGAGCGCCGCACCGCAGCTGCTGCGCTATGTACTCAGCTTGCTGCAGGTAGATTGCAATCATACCTCCTCTAAGATTTACTTCAGGACTGCTGCTGCTACATAGAGGAAGTGCCCGTCCTCCCATGCCGACTGCCTGTCGACAAGCTCATGGGTATTACTCTGAGTGTTGGGAAACGATGATAAGGCACTTATCAATATATGTCTATCTGCTCTTGCATACACATGTCTCACAACATGCAGACCATGCCCCGCTTCTGATAGCAAGGTGGCAGCTCTGTCTTTCCCCTTGCTCCTGCTCTCGTTCAGTTCCATATGATCTATGATGGAAGTTGTTGTCACTAACTGCTCACGGTGTGCAGATGGAGACCAAGGGCGATGAAGCAGCGGGGGACTCGAGCAGCAATGGACATGTCAGGCTTGCGGAGGATGCACTGAAGGAGGCTCTGGCCTGTCCGGCCGGCCAAGCCTTCAAGCCCTTCATTGCCGCCCTCCTCAAACTTGCAAATGGCCTGTCGCTCAATGGTGCCACTCAGGCAAGCCCCTATTCCTTTTCTGAACCCTTTCTTCACTGACTTGAAGGGCGCAACCATGCTTTTGGAATGTTCTGCTCCCGTACTGGGGCGTCACACCACAGCATGCCCCCCGGAGCCTGCTGTTGCCCTGTCCTTGTCTATCCAAAAGAACTGCTATGCTTTTGGGAACTCATCATCCTGAGCAGAGTACTGATTTGAGGATGAAGGACAAGCTGCATGACACGTATTGACGAATGACAACCTTTGGGACTCTTCAACAGGAGGACGTGAAGCGCATCAAGGTGCTGGCCAAGCGTGCGGCAGAGGGACTGAAAGACCGCTTGGCGGCCAAGGATGCTGCAGCGCTGGCGCAGCGCTTGTCTGGGCTGGACCAAACACCTGACGAGGTAGCTTTCACTCTTGTTCCACCATGTTGTGGAATACCTCCTTATGTCTCTTTCTTGGGGGTGTTTCTTTTCCAATGGCATACATGCCATTCAGAAATCAGCTGGTGCAGATGGCATGGCAGCCGATGCTTTTCATAGAACAATGCACTTGACCACTCCACGAGAAGTAACCGTGTCTGAACTATTCAGTGAAATCTTTGATTGGACGTCTAATCTTGCATTCAATTGTTTGCCTCGCGTAAACAGGGACTAAGTGAGGAAGCATTGCAAGCACTCCTCGCGTCCGTGGAGGAAATGGGCGTTGCCGCCAAGGCGCTCTTCGAAGCGGCGGCAGCCGCTCCGCCGTCGCCGCGCGGCGGCCGGCCGGCCCGGGGCCGCGGCGCGGCAAAGCCGGCCGCGGGCGGCCGCCGCCGCCGCGCCGCCCCCTCCGAAAGCAAAGACGAGGTGCTTTTGAGATCATCTCCAAGTCTAAATTTCTGCACAGGAAATGAGTGTTCTTGGAGGTGTTTGGAAACGCTAGAGGCCAGGGGTTACGATGCCTGGAAGCTGTGCATCCCAAGTTGCTGCCACATCCGGTGGTTGGTCACTTGTGGGGTGATTTCTAGTGAGTTGACTCCATAGTTGTTGTGCTGGGCGCGCAGGAGAGCAGCGATAGCACGGAGGATGATGGCTCGGATTCTGGCGCCGAGGAGCAGGAAACAGCGCTGACCGACAGCAATACAGCTGCAGCAGCTGCCACGGCTACTACAGCAACAGACAAACGGACTGCCATGCGGAAGGCGAGCACAATATCGACAAGGAGGGGACAGCAGGAGAATGTGGCACCCATGGAGTGTTGAAGAACGGACCTCCAGCTAGCAAGCCGGGACTCACTATATCTTGAGTTGGGAGAAGGAACCATGGTCTCCTTTTTCTTGAAACAGTGCGTGCAGTCCACTTCCTGTGATTGACTATTGAAATCGATTGATATCCTCATATCTTGCTTGACTTTTCCCATTTAATTAACTTATAAGTTAGTGGAAGAAATCATGTACGCTAAGGCTGGATGGACAGCTGTGCACTTGCGCTCTCATTTTTGCAATCGCGAGAGCTCCCTCGAGACGTTGCACTGGAGGACTTGTAACGGTTATCATGATCATGCATGTGCACCATTTGAAGTCTCCCTGTCTCTCATGCACAACGCAGAATGCTGGGACCTGGTATATAGATATGTATCCTATATAGCCTTACTATATAAAGCCCTTAAGGCCTTAAGGTGAAGTTCACCTAGAATTTCCAGGCTGCAGCTGGAAACACCCAGAAATATTTATAGGCTAGCCGCTATATAGCTATGATAGTGTATACACCTGTGCTCACAGGTACCTTGCAAACTTGGGTCACGAGTCAATCATAGGAACAAAGCCTTTTCCTCAGGATATTGACCATCCAAATTAAAAAGAATGCGAAAAAGAGACGCAAAAAGTAGAGTGTGGAATCCGAGAATCGAGCTCGGGTCTCCTCGGCCACAACGAGGCGTACTAACCACTATACTAATCCCACTTTGCCCTCTTTGTTTGATTTGTGTTGCCCTGATCGCGTTTTGCCAATACATACACTTTACATTGCTTGCCCTCCGCCCCACTGTGCAGCACAGTGCACCACTTCTGCAATTGCGGACGACGAATAGAAGACTTGCATAAAACTGTCTGCAATGTACATACCACAAGATCCCTATCGTAAGTTGTGCGCGATAGCATCGTGTGACCCTTTCGTGATGACGAGCCTCTGACGTCTGGACCCTTTGATCGAGAGCAGCAGGTATCCAATATCTTGACTGCGAGAGATAGTTTGGGTACCAGGCCATCCTCATCTGATATGTGACCCATCTGGGCATGGGACGGTGAGGCATGGTGTCAGCAGCACTGGCTCAGAAATGAGCGAGACGAAGCATAAAAGGGCCAAGCTAGGGAAGTATACCGCTGGAACACACAGATTGACTTCCACATAGTCAAACTGACTCCCATCGGCTTCTGAATATTGAAACATCAGGCACCACCGGATTCAGTGGGCGAGGTCCACATCGTAGCGCAACCCAGATATAGGCAACACAAAGACATTTGGGTGCGAAGCAGGAAGCTGTGTCAGGTATTGTCGGATCGCAAGAGGGCCACTGAAGTTTTCTGTTCAGCAAAAGGCAATACCCTACGAAAAGCAAAGACCTTCATCCAATCCTGCTGTGACTCATCACAATCATGACATTATAAGATGCAATAGCACCTAAGAGGCACTCCAAACCAGGCGGAGTTGTTGTGGTTTTTGAAAGTTGCAGAAATGATGCATTGCGATGCGAGCACGTCCAGGCCATCCGAGAGTCACGCATACATGCAACCTTGCAGATCCCGCATACCTGTTTATTGTGCACCAGCAACTTTTTATAGGGCAGTGAGAACTCCTTCCAGACGCTGCCATTTCCACCGTCTACCCGGTAAAGTGAGCAGAACGCTTTGCAAAGCAGGTATTACTTATTTACTACGAGTTCGCCTGCTTGGTCATACAGTTATTGTTTGGGCTCTTCAATTCCGGTATGGTAGCAAACTGGTCATTTTCATATACCTATTCAGTCTAACTTCTCAACATCACCTCAATCTCCGCACACCATACTTTGCCGCTGGATGTGAAGAATGGCTCGTGAGGCTGGGCTGAAGCATTTGCGGTTTTTGCAGGTAGCTCTCGTGTCAACAAAGCCAATAAGGTCAGCGATGAGCAGAATGCCAAAATCTGCAGGCTCGTACAGCAAGTCATAGCTGCCAGAGTATTCAGCAAGGAAGGCAGCCTACTGCTGCTGCTGTTGGGTGCTGCTGCATGGTTGGCGTCACCTCATCAGGCAGCGGCAGCAGATCTGTCAGACAGTACACCGCTGTTCCATCCTCTCGCTGCGGACCTGAATCAGCTTGCAGAGAATGTGCGGAGCAATCCTTCCATGCCGCCCCACTGTTCGGTTGTTGTAAAGCATATCCCATTGCATATCCCATTCTGGGCCCTGTTTGTGCAGGCTCCTTTGAGGGGTCTTTTCCAGCATATTCGGTGCCAAATTTCATCATACACATGCTGTAGATTTCATCAATTTTCAACGGACAAGAGCAACAGGGTTCGGCCAGAAAGTGCTTGAATGAACCGCCTGCTCTGTGCAGGAGGATTTCTGGAGCAATGTCGGGCGCTACGGCAGCTACTTTTTCTCTGTGCTGCTCGGCACGGCTTACACAGCAGTCAAGCCGATTGGAGGCCTGCTGAGGAGGCCCGTGTCAGCCGTGCTCACCATATCGGCCATCATCGGCCTCTACATTTTTGTCTCGACCACTGTCACAGCAATGCTGGGCGTGAACAGCGAGGATGCCTTCGTGATGCCCCCACAACTCACAAACTGATCGTTCTAGCAATGCAAGCCGCTTGGAGTGGAGACGGTCATGTTGATGGATGACAGGGTCACCATAACGGTTATGGCAGGGTTATGACAGGCAAGCTGATGGGACTTACAGAATATTCATTATTATTGCACCTGAGCAGGACAAGAGAGAGAAGCTTGGAAGAAAAGTTGTGAGATGATGTGTTTTTACCAGTCGGTACTGGTGCACCTCATATCCAGTGGCCCAACAGCGTACTGCAAGCATCATGCACTACCAATAAAGGCCCCCGGGGGGCCAGTTCGACATGTTTCGACCAGTACTTGGACTGGGCTTCGAACTGAGTGTAGGTCGAAGCTAGTCGAGCACAGGCCGAAGGGCAGCCAGGTGGTCGAACTCGGTCTGACCTGAGTTTGACCTCAATCAAGTCGAAAATTCTCGACCTGTGCCGACTTGCTACAAGGGGAGCATGCATTCTATTTATTTGCACCTGAGCGGGCTGATATGGTCATGGAAATAAGCAAATTGCAATGCATGCAAGTATTAGCATCGTCATGGGATGACGAAAGTACTCATTCCTACAAGGGCAGCTTAGAGCTGAAGAGATGAGAGGAGCCCAGCCAGCATTACAAAGAGGTCATTTCACACTTCACACATTGTCTATTTCAAGCTCCTTGCCAATCTCACTAAGTGCCCTTGGCTAGCACAACATAACACTCCGCTCAGAAAGCCCCTGTTCCATATTGCTCCAGAACTTCTGCAATCCTTCTCCACATGCTTACTACCGCTGCAATGACATCCCGTACAGGAGCTGACAGTCAAGAAGATCTGTCACAGACCTGCCAGAACATACTGCTGTCCCCACAGGAAGCATATCTGCCAGTTGCTCCCATCCCTCGCACAAGATTGCATGAGAGGGAGTTTGCAGCAGTGATGCTGCCGCAGAATCAGTGCTTGTTGGGGTTCGAGAACTCTGCAGAACAGACACAAAAGACTGTCACTGGTGTCTGGGTAGCTAGGCAACCACTCCAATACTGATCAAGCACTTCGGAGAGTAAGTGAAAACATGAAAATGAGCATTGAAACAAAATAAGAGTGCTTACTCGAGTTCTTGACATCCTCATCTGCACCAGCACAGAAAAACACCTTAGTGACATAGTCTGTTGAATGCAGAGTTGTCGCACATTGCAGAGCAAGTCAAGCACAAAAGCTAATCCGACTCAGACCAAACAGAATGCAGTAGCCCATCGAGGACAACTGCCAGGGGCTTACCAGTGACGCTCAGCCCAACCTGAAGAAAGATATATCCCGACACTCCAAGACCAGCCACGAAGGGCCACCTGGACACACATCCACATCGATATTTAGAAACTGCCATAAGACTTCTGGCATCCTAGAATGGTACTGAAGTGAACAGTTGAGTAGGTTTAGGACTTGTGGGGTGGGGTCGCTTGCATGCCCTCAAATCCCGAAGCACAGCATCATAGCAAGGGTCGGTGGACGTTCATCCACAGGATGCACTTACAGGTATTTCATTTCCCGGGCCACAGTGGTCAGTGTGCTCTCAGATGTCAGGTGGTGCGTCAAGTTTACTGCTTGTTTCGACGCCATGACGCCGCTTCCTTCTGAGAGCTTCCTACTCAATGGCAGGAACCTGATCACACTGTTGATCTCGAGTCGCTTGACATTGCTAGATGGGCGTGGAGGACATGACTTTGTCCCCGGGGGTCAATTACGTTAGATATGGCAGGGTACATCATACCATGCTCGCCAACTGGACGCCAATGAAAAAACAAACTTCCCTTCCCCACAACATTACAATGCAAGTGAAGGAAAGGTTGTGTGACTGCAAATCGAAATATATATCGTCTCGGTGCATTTCGATGCGTGCCTCATTGCAGTTCTCTGTGAAGCCAGAAGCGCATGGACATCTTTCAAGCACAGCGCTGCTATAATCTCAATTCAGGAGCCAGCCAGTCCTCTTTAAGTGATCAAATTAGGTTACAACAAAGATTATAAGCGAAAGGGGGCTCCAGCTATTGGGCTCGAGAGTCGCAGCAACCTTGCGATGCGCTAAGGTCAACAAAACCTGGGGCATTCCGGACAACACATCGTTTGTACTGTACAGAAGTAATACGGGAGATACTACATGCCAAGTGCATGGATATAAGGTACGCTCACAACACCAGTGCTCCCCCTCCTATATCCGAGTTGACTCTTTCTGTGAGCTTGTTTCTTCAGCGTCTGATGCTGCCCTTAGCCCATCTTTCATTCCTCATGAACCTCCAATCTGTAAAGACCCTGATTGAATGCATGCGCTAGTAAGAGCTGGGGGAGTGCAAATGCAGGCCTAGTGCTTCTCTTGAAGCATTGCCCTCCCCAAGGTCTCGCGTGAGAGTCAAAACGGATCTGGAAAAGGACACAGAGGCGGGCATGGACCGCCATGCCCGCCACCACAATTCTGCGCACGCAAGGTGCTCCATGAATGTGTTCTCTCTCCACATCACGCGTCAACATCTTGCAATATTGCTGGTGGTTCTTTGTGCATGACCTGTGCTATTCATCTGTGACTTAGTAACAAAGCCAGCAAATTCATGATACACGAGCGACTGACAGTCACATACACACGCAGCACTAGCGGCTTGGACATTGACGATGAAGTGTTGAAGCCCCATGGTGCTGCAGCCAGGGCCCAATCTGCACAGGTGCGCCCATACATCCAGCCCGTTCATCGACAAGAAATGAACTCTCAGTGAGTTTTCAACGGGCAGTAACATCGTAACTTTGACCAGTCAGAGTTATGCGGTCTGCAACACTGTGTGCCCTGTCAGTATCTCCCAACCCTTTTCAAATTTTCAGACCACTCAGGATTTTGGCAAGAGCGCAGCATTATCTGAGACTTGCAGCAGCCGTGAGAGTCTGCGCGCACAACACTATGTCCCGGCAGTGCTGCAAGTTCAAAGGGTTGCTAGCAAGGCTAAACAAAACTTCAAGTCCTACTTGCTGCTATTGACATCTCTGTCATACCCCAACCAAATTGTGCCGTGCAGTGGGACCGCATGTTGGGGGCGGCCGTTCTGGGAGGGGCGACTCTCTCAGCATATGCCATTGTGACCTGTCTGCGCTCAGCCAGCCTAGATCACCTGGAGCTGTTCCACA